ACCCTGAGACCATGACCTGAGCCGAAGGCAGAGGATTTAACCCACTGAGCCACCCAGGTGCCCCTTTCTCAGTAGTTTTAATCTTAATATCTACAATCTATTAATTTCAAATAATTTTAGAAAATATCTTATAAAGGAAACAATAACTTCTGGGCTTAATCCAGATTACAAATTAAAATTTGGAAACTTTGTTCATACTAAATAAACTCTGGGAGTTCTAAAATAGTTCACTTAATCTTTGAGATTAAAATACATGTTTACTTCAAAGATAACCTAAGTCTTCATTAGGTGGAAGCTTACAAAGTGCTCCTAAATATTTTAGTAAAACAAAATGGAAAAGATCAATGTGTAATTGAATATCTTATAACCACTTCTCTATATGTATAGATTGTTAGTTGTAATGCAGATATCACTTATAAATATGTTGATTCACTATGTTTTACAAGATCCTTTTGAAAAAACATAGTTACCAATGGCTTTGGAACTTCTACAAACATGTACTTCTACAAACATGAGCTTCTACAACTAAAAACCTTTCAAACATGTTTCTTCTATGGAGTTATAGGAAGATATACACAAATAAACACTTACGTAAGTATGTAACCTTCAGTCTGAATTGTTCAATCTTTTGAATTCTTTCAATAAATGCTAACATTTAATTTCTGTTTTATCATGTTTTTATTTGCTTAATGTTTGGTACACAAAATTTTCATTTACAAAATTATATTGTGTAAGTAACTACATTTTCAGTTGTTTCAAAGGTGGAATCAAAAGTTGCTCAAATGAAGATATGATTAGCTTTTTGATATTATCAAGCATGTAGTTTGTCAGTCTGAAAATTATTTGGAATAATGTGCGCCGAAAAAAAAAAAAACCACAAAAAACAAAAAAAACAAGAGAGAAAGAGATAGAGAGAGAGACTTCATGAATGCCTGTGTAAAAGCAGACGAATACAAAAGGTGACTTAGATATGCTAATATGTAATCATAAATTACTGCAGAGTTTAGAGTTTTCTTCGATGAATGCTCCATTATAAAACAAACTCTCTAGTACTACCTTAATTAGAATACATCTTTCAAAGATATATTTATTTTATTTAAATCAGAGTGAGTAAAATATATGCTAGATAAGAAAAATGTCTACTTTTTTCACTTTGATACTACTATCTCTCTCTCTCTGAAAACAACAGAATAATTAAAAGGAAACTGAAAAATACTGCTGTCCTTGGAACTAAATTTATATACATATAGATAGATATGATATTCTATATCAGCAATATAAACATATTTAATTACATTGTGTATGTTATTTCTATGTTTTCCTTTTATCCATTATGCATCATCAATAAAGAACACAGTTCTTTAATGACAGCTCTTTCTTTTTGAAATATAAATTATTTGATTAAAATAAAACTATGGGTATGTATATAAATACTTCTGTGGAATGCACTAAAAAGTCATAACAAAGAATAGCTCAAAGGATCACCATGCTTACCCCATAGCATTTTTATCTGACCTGAAATATTTATGTTGGAAGTACTCAGTTTTAACATTAGCAACCCATCCTAGCTATTCAATCTTCTATAGCTCCCTAGACCATCAGACTAGAAGAAAATCTTCTCAGAGTAAATATATTAACACATTCAGAGTTCTCTTATCAAGAAATAACCTTGAAAATCAAATAAAATGAAAAAACCTCCAAAAGGTTAAAGAGATTCAGCTATTTTAAGAATGATGTTGCCTGATTTCTTCCAGGGTTACTCTAATATCCTCCAGCCTTGAGGCTCAGGGGCATGTGTGTGATTTCACACTTGCCCACGTAGAATATGGTGTACTCAGGAGTGATTCTCCTCGAATTGAGCAACCACCTGAAAAGGCCAGAAACATCTCTATGACTCATCAGCCTACTGATGTAGCTCAGGCTCTCCTAAATCAGACTGATTTGTAATAGGGATGGACCTTTTCCACAAACTTTCTTGAATATGTCTTTTTAAAACTCAATTTGGAGAACTTGTAAGTGAAAAACCCAAGACAAATATTCTTTCCTTATCCATGTCTCCACTTATGCTTCACATGGAAGCATTTATTATCCGAGAAAATACTGAGGAGGGTTTGAAATGTGTGCCAGGTCTGAAAAACAATATTTAAAGTATAGGGGGGTGCCTGGGTGGCTCAGTAGGTTAAGCAACTGATTTTTTATTTTGGCAGGGGTCATGATCTCAGGGTTGTGAGATGGAGCCCTGCTTCTGACTCTGCACAGACTCTGCTTGAGATTCTCTCTCTCCTTCTGCTCCCCCACCACCCCACCAACCTCACACTCCATCTCTCTCTAAAATTAGATAAATAAAATGTTTTAAAAAAATAAGGATGCCTAGGTGGCTCAGTCAGCTAAGTACCTCCCATCAGCTCAGGTCATGATTCCAGGATCCTGGGATGGAGTCTGCATTGGACTCCTTGCTCAGCAGGGAGCCTGCTGCTCCCTCTGCTTTCTCTCTCTGACAAATAAATAAAATATTTTAAAAAATAGAAAATAAAAATAAATAAAAGCATATATTTTGAAATCATATTGTTTTCACCACTTTCTAGATTCTGGTAGATATTCTATTAATCTAAATAATCTTAAAGAAGACTATTGTGAAGAACAAATTGAAATACTATTTTAAAAAGCAATCTAAATTCACTTTATGCACAACCAACACAGTTGCCATATGGAATTTGGCTAATCTATATACAAAATCCAAAGGAATCCAACAGTCCCCTGTTTTTCACTATGACCAGTTCCATTTTCTCTCTTTTGATGAAGGTAATACAGACACTAGACTCGTGGTATAGTATGTATATAACGTAGAGTAACAATGGGGTAACAAAGTATACTGAAAATCCATTAAATATAGGCTAAAATCATACCTCCAGGCCTGTTTCTCAAAGAATTTCATATATATATATAAAAAAAAAGAGTATTCTTTGTAAGGGTTGAGTTAGCTCCTTTGAGAGCTTTTGCAAGTAGGGTTGAGGTCAGTTTAGGTCTACATTATACTAGCTACACAATTTTGCTTGCCTTCGACAATTTATTCCATTCACTTCAGTTAGGAATGGAAGAGATATAAAGATGATTCCTGGGACTACTTCTTATTCAGTTTGGAAGTTAGTGGAAGATTGTCCTCTCTACAATGCAGTCGCTAATGAAAAGGATCTATTAAAAAGAACTGAGTTGGTTTACACTGCAGATTGAATGGAGCATTAAATGACTGCATTAGTATGACTGCAATGGGGGTAATGGTCGCCTCCAGTAGGTATATAATGTTGTAATAATTCTTTCACATAGGTGCAATAATTGCTCAAGTGTCCTCATTTAATTTGTCACGAAATGGTATCCAACATCTCTCCAGCAAATGCCCCTCACGCCTCTCCTCACTCTAGTTTTATTTTCCTCCCTTTTGGCGAGTGTAAACAGATGAGGAAATCTGTGTACTTCCAAAATGTCACCTATGTATCATGAAGCGGGGTGTGGGGGGGGGGGGGGCACTGTAACTTGAAAACAGCTTCTGGGAGGCGTTTAGGGATACCGCCCATCAATACAGCTCAGATGCTCTTAATTTGATGACCCCGCCCAAACCCCATGGGCCTGGCCTGTAATTTTCCAAAGGGCCACCTCTCATTTGCAAATAAAAGTTAAAGTCAATCCACAGATACAGAACGCTGACTTCGTGCCACTCAATTTTACAGGGCTTCTCTTTGTAGAGCTGCCAGATTGTGACCGATGTTGGGGGTGGGGGCGGGGATGAGATGAGCGAGAGAATGAGATGAGAGAGAATGAGAGGAGAGAGAGAGAATGCGAGAGAAAGAGAGAAAGAAAGAGGGAGAGAGAGAGATCACTTGCTTCCTTGCTTCCTAAGCAGGGATTTGCCTGCGATGAGCGGCGAGAGGACTGCGGCGGCTGATTTACACAGTTGGCGCGGAGGAGGGGCCGGGGGTGCGGGGGGGGGGAGGGGGCACAAGCTGGCGGAGGCTCCGGCGATGGGCTGATCTGGGGGCTCCCGAGCGCCGCTGCCTGCGTGCGCGATTTGGGGGCAGCAGCTGATGGATTTGCATTAGGGTTCCAGCCCGGCGTTTCGTATACTGCCTCCTAAAACCCGATCTGGACCTCCCAGTTTGGGTGCAGACGTTGGTAAGTAACGTGTAATCCGATTTCAGTTATTTCCTAGGCCATTAAAGTGGCACTTTTAAAGCAGGTCAGTCTTAAAAGATGCCGCCGCCGCGAGCGTCTCCTTGGCCTGAAACGTTCCGCGATCCCTCCCCCCCCATTCCTCTCGCGCTGGAGAAGTGAGGGTGCTTGAATGGTGAGCTGTCAGGGGGCTCACTCTCTGCCAACAGGATCTCTTCACCTTCGTGCTTTGCCTGAGATCTCCCAAATCCAAGTCGAATTTGGTGTGTACAGCCATACTGTTGTATTTGTATCCTCTTTTTTTCTCTCTACCCCCTCCTCCCCCGCCCCCCTCCCCCCCTGCTTCACCGTCTGGCCAATGCTGGGATCTGGGATCTAGTCGCCCCCTTCCTGCCTCCTTCCCTCCCCTCCCCACCCCCTTCTCTCATCTACACACCACCCACCCCCACTCCCACCTACCTAAAGGGTCAAGAGCAAAGAAACCCGGAGATGGTAAGGGCTAGTCCCATCTCCTCTGATCGAAGGAGGCCTTGGGCAGGGATTGCACTGAGTGACAACCTTTCAGGAAGCAAGGAAGAGAAAGAAAAAAACCAAAACCAAACCAAAACAAAACAACAACAACAAAAAAAAAAAAAAACAAACAAAAACCCAGAGACGGAGCCAGGACTCTCAGGACAGCGAAGCTCGACAGTGAATCCAGAGCACCGAGATTTTAAGTCCAAGAACCCAGTCCTAGGACACTTCTGCCTGCCTACCATCGAAGGTATATAGAACTGTGGTCCTGAGCTCTCTGTCACTGGCGGCGTCAAGCTAGGTGAGCGCCCGGCTTTCCCATTGGTATGCAGCGACCATTTCCCTTCAAGTCTCAAAGGTGGAAACACTTAAAAGGATTACAAGCGTGATTTGGTGGCCTTTCTGAAAGTTGGTGGCAAGAAGAAGAGAAACTGCAAGGCTACGGCATGTTGGATACAATTCAGCCTCCCAGAGAGTTTGCACCTCCCGCTGGGCAGCCCCTCGGAGCAAATCTCGGAGATCTAGAGCGCTCTGCACCGATAGGTACTCGCCGCCATCCTTTCCTACTTTGCCTAATTGAAACCAGTATTTCTCGCTGGTAGGATGTGCATTGTAGAGCGTATAGAGTTTGGCAGCGATGTCTTCTGTACGTTCACAGGTGCTAGGCGTTTGTTGCATTATTGAACGGTTCATTTAGTTGTTAAGGACAATGGTAGAAGGAATGGTACTGGAGACTAACATACCCTTGGACCCCTTTTCTAGGGGAGGATATTGTAAGTAACTCCAACAAACAGGTCAAGTGTCGGAGCGAAGGGCCCCTCCCCCAGTGGGTCGCTCACTCGTTCTGTAAAAGAAGGAAAACGGCTTGAGGTTTTAATCATTTTCCATTTCTAAACATACCCATTGTGCGTTTCGCCTGGAGACAGCAGATTAGGATCTGTGGAAGGCTCAAACCTCTTCAGAAAATGAATGATGCAGCATTTTAATTATTTGTTCTGGGGGTGATCGCTTTGCTTCCATATTGGAATATTTAATCCTAGATATGGAGAGATTAGTGGGCTCGGAGATCGGGCAAAGGGGTGGGGGAGAGAGGAAGGGGGCACTGTGGGGGAGAAAGGGCTTCTTGTCCTCCCCGTGGACAAATGATGCCGGGCGCTCCCAGCAGGAAGCGGGCGAAACCGGGGCTTCAGGGCCCTCCATCCCCTAACTTTTGGAGCTCTTCCTATCACTTAGACACGCTATTCTGAGATAAATGAAAAGAAAGGGGTGAGATAGCCTTTAGGACATGGACCAAATCAAGAACTTGAGGGGATGTAGATAAGAAGAGAACAGAGGACGATTGCAGTGATGGTCATTTACCGTCACCGGGAAGCTCAGAGAAGCCTCCCGGTTACCCATCAATTCCATCGAATCATGGGTTCCGATACGATCCGTGAAATAGTCACCGCCTTTGCACGTTGGGTACCAAAGGTGGTGTGTGTGGCGGGGGAGGGGGTAGCTTGGCAATTGGTGAAGGAGATGGGATTGTTCAGGTTCTGAGTTCAGGCTGTCGGTGATGGTCGGCTCAGTTGCGACCTGAGAAATAGGGTGGGTCTGGAACATGAAGGGTGTAGAGTGTTAGAGAAGCTTGCCTTCCTGCTTACTAAGACTGTGATTGCTGTTTCTAATCTTAGCTACTCGGGAGCGGAGGACACTTGTGCGGTCATTTTAAATGCAAAATGTGATGCAAATCTTCTATGACTGACTCTTATGGAACGTTTATGTTCCATTAAGTGACATATATATTGTATATATAATGTACCATTCTGGTACAAAACTGATAAGTTTTTTTTTTTTTTCCTTAAAATTTGATTTTGTAAAAAGTGCTTTAAGGGAAAGCCATCTCTACCCGCTAACTTTGAGTCCTTGGGCAGTTGAGGTTCGGTCCAGTTCTTAGCGACCAGAAAGTCCCTCCCTTCCCCAGGAGTTGGTTACAGGATTGGTGTGGAGTGGCGGGCGGGGAGGGGGAGGCGAAGGGCAATCTATGCCATACAGTCCCCGCTAACTAGACTCGTTTGCTATACACTTGCTTCCCCGCTAAGCTGCCTTTCCTCCTAGTAGGTAGCACTGTAGCACCGTCAGTTCTATAGTGGAGCCTTCTTAGAGGGTTCCTGTGAACTGTGATCTGGTGGCCCCTCTTCACTGCAACGTCTTCGCTCAATCACCCCCACCCTCACCACTCCCTATTTTCCTCTTCCCCCAAATATCACGGAGAAATATTTGGACCAAAAAAAACCAGGTTGGGGAGGGTCGAGGAAAAAAAAAATCCAAACCCTGAAATGCTGCCCCCTATCCCCATGAGGTCTTTCCGGTAGAAGAAAGTGAAATGTGCCATTGTTACCAAGTGGTCTGCGTTGGCCTGTCTCTGTTTTTAAAAAGGTGGAAGCAAACACATGGCTGTTGAATCCAGGGGAAATCGAAGGCTTTGAGCTGCAGCACCACAAAAGGATTCCTGGTGCAAAGAGATCGAAACAAAATGCAGGAGAAACTCGGTCCAAGTCACTCAGGCTGCCTGAGCTCTTATGCGGGACTCCTAAGCAGAATCAGCTAGATCCAGCTCTTCTCCTTCGGGGATCTGAATTACCCTTTATCCCCGTCTTTGGAGAGGAGTGTCTATGTTATGAAAAGGATAATTCTGAAGGATAATCTTACTTTACAACCAGTCTGCGCTAGGGAGAGGAGCTTGGAAACTAGAGAAGCAAAACAGGAGATGATTTCCTTGAGAGTTAAAAATAATTATAATAAAAAGAAAAAAAAATGTCCACAGTCCTCCCTCCTCTACCTTCCCCACCAAAGGAATGCTTTCCTTAGGTTGGCCTCTGCTTTCCTGTTTCTCATTTTGACAGTTTGTAATCTGGACCCCTCCACTTCTTTTCTCATCCCTTAAACACACACACACACACACACACACACACACACACACACACACACACTGTACAGTCAGGGCTTCCTAGTGCTCGCTCCCGACCCCAAGCTAAGCGCGTTCCCTTCTTGGAGCTCATTTTCGTGACGTGGAAAGCCGGATCCAGGGTTACAGCACACATTAAAAAAAAAAAAAAAAAAAAAAAAAAAAGCCAGCTCAAGAGAAGGCCGAGATTCTGCACTGGGATTGAGCCTGGCTTCCTCTTTGCCTCCCTCCCGCCCTTCCTCCCAGTGCCCAATGATGTGCTTCTGGTACCCAGAGAGAGCAGCCACAGCAGCGGCGGCGGCAGCGGCAGCGAAGCTGGAAGCCTGCTGCAGCCCCTTCTCCTCCCTCCTCTATTGAGTGTGCCAAGCGGCAGTTCTGCATCCTAAAGAAGCCCATTCAAAGGCCCATTGCATTCCCAGCACGTCTCAAGCTTGCTGCTTTTATTTTTTCCCTTCGTCTCCCCCACCCACTCCCTCTATCCCCCTTTGCTTCAGCTTCAGCAAAAGGAAGGGAGGGAGAGGGAGAGAATCATTAAACTCAAGGTTTTTTTTTTTTTTTTTCTTCCAATGTTCAATACTTAAAAAAAAAAAAAAAAATCTCCTGCAAAATAGGTAAGTCAAAGACATCTGGTGCCTTTCTTACCTAAATCTCAGGGACCTCCGAAACAAGAAAAACATTTAAAAAATGATGAAGAAAGAACTTAAGTAGATTTTAATATTTTATAAGGGAGACAGGGAAGACTAACTGATACTGCAATGTAGCTTCATCTGCCTTCTGTCTCTCTCTTTTTTTTCATTTAATTGTTTCTAAAAATTGAGTATTGCATGCCTGAGGCGAATTTCTCTTTGCATTCTCATGGGTCTTCTTATCCTTACAGCTGTGTACATTGTATGCAAGTTGAATGTGAAGATTTATTCTTTTCACTTTCCTTATCAATTATATCATTTTGTTTTCAGAGGCTTGGCAAAATATTTCCTTAATGTATGTATTTTACGTGTGGAGAGAAAGCATACGCTAAAAATTCTGGTTTATTTTTATTGATTAAAAATAATTATTCAATTCTGATTGATATTTCAGTGACTTAGAAAGGGCAATCTAATAAAACTGCATTAATACAATTTACTTATGTATTCGTTTTCATATACTGATGACATAAAGCAAGGAAAGAGAGCCATAGAAGAAGGTTCTGTCTTATTAGAATAGTGCACCGTATTTGTTTCTTCTGATTAGAAAAGAATGATGTCTTTCTTTGAAATGTAAGTCATGTGATAGATTATTTATCAGCAGGTAAGAACCAAGGTTTCCACCCTTTTCTTGCCTTTAACTACCCAACTCTCTTCTAACCAGCCACCTGCCATTCCAGCTTTTTACAGGGTTCCTCAGTTGATCTTGAAGGCACAGATACACATTCCAAACTAAGCTCTGCAAGTGTTTTGATACAGACACTCCCAGGTTCAGCATCCTTAAGCTATCATTATCTTTAACTCTGACAACTGCATGGGCTCCTTCTTTAGAAAGGCTAATCTTTCCTAAAGGGTTTAAATAGCCAAATGATAAACCTATGTAGAAATTATTTAATTAAAGGAGATGTTAAAAATCTGTGCTTGGGAAAAAGAGGGTGGGGGTATAGTGTGATACTGAGCATACACTATAATTAAGTATACTGTGATCATCTCTTAAGCAAAACCTTAAGTTTTCCTGAGATACCAAGCATCTTATATCTCATCTGATATAGAGCAATGGGTTCAGACTCCATCACACTCTAATCTAATAACTTTGTGGTATGCTATGTCTTTTTATGAGTAGAAACCTATAGCTAAAGAATATTTCCCTCCAGAATTCCAATCAGATCTGTAATGGGCTCCTCTGATATCAATGTAAGTTTTAGCGGACAAACAGGTGAAATGGCCAAATTACTGCCATTATTACTGAATATGCCTATATCTAAAAGACATCACTGTATACCAGTCCTTTGATTGCCATAAGATGCAATGAAGGCTGCTTGTGTCAGTATGATATGCCCTTTACCAAGTATGTCTTGGTTCAGAAAAATGTCATTGCATGGCACAATATTTCAGAGTCACCCAAGTTTAAATACAAGACATATTAAGCATATTGACAAATCATTTTGAGTGTCAGTTCAACAACTGCTAAACTTCGTTTCACTCATAAAAAGCTCCAAATGTAGGAGTAAATTAGAATAGTGCATATGAGTAAAGGCTAAAAATCTGCATCTTTATTTCTGTTGCAGTTTTGTAAGCAACTACGAGTGATGAAACCTTCCATAGCTGAGATGCTTCACAGAGGGAGGATGTTGTGGATAATTCTTCTAAGCACAATTGCTCTAGGATGGACTACCCCGATTCCCCTGATAGAGGACTCAGAGGAAATAGATGAGCCCTGTTTTGATCCATGCTACTGTGAAGTTAAAGAAAGCCTCTTTCATATACATTGTGACAGTAAAGGATTTACAAATATTAGTCAGATTACTGAGTTCTGGTCAAGACCTTTTAAACTGTATCTGCAAAGGAATTCAATGAGGAAATTGTACACCAACAGTTTTCTTCATTTGAACAACGCTGTGTCCATTAACCTTGGGAACAATGCATTGCAGGACATTCAATCAGGAGCTTTCAATGGTCTTAAGATTTTAAAGAGGTTATATCTACATGAAAACAAACTAGACATCTTCAGAAATGACACCTTCCTTGGCTTGGAAAGTCTGGAATATCTGCAGGCAGATTACAATGTCATTAAACGTATTGAGAGTGGGGCATTTCGGAACCTAAGTAAATTGAGGGTTCTGATTCTAAATGATAATCTCATCCCCATGCTTCCAACCAATTTATTTAAAGCTGTCTCCTTAACCCATTTGGACCTACGTGGAAACAGGTTAAAGGTTCTTTTTTACCGAGGGATGTTAGACCACATTGGCAGAAGCCTGATGGAGCTCCAGCTGGAAGAAAATCCCTGGAACTGTACATGTGAGATAGTGCAACTGAAGAGTTGGCTGGAACGCATTCCTTACACTGCCCTGGTGGGAGACATCACCTGTGAGACCCCTTTCCACTTCCATGGAAAGGACCTGCGAGAAATCAGGAAGACGGAACTCTGTCCCCTGTTGTCCGACTCTGAGGTGGAGGCTAGTTTGGGGATTCCCCACTTGTCATCAAGCAAGGAGAACGCATGGCCAACTAAGCCTTCCTCAATGTTGTCTTCTGTCCATTTTACTGCTTCTTCTGTTGAATATAAGTCCTCAAATAAACAGCCTAAGCCCACCAAACAGCCCCGAACACCAAGGCCACCTTCCACATCCCAAGCTTTGTACCCCGGTCCAAATCAACCTCCTATTGCTCCTTACCAGACCAGACCACCCATTCCCATTATATGTCCTACTGGGTGTACCTGTAATTTACACATCAATGACCTTGGCTTGACTGTCAACTGCAAAGAGCGAGGATTTAATAACATTTCTGAACTTCTTCCAAGGCCACTGAATGCCAAGAAACTTTACCTGAGTAGCAATCTGATTCAGAAAATATACCGTTCTGATTTTTGGAATTTCTCCTCCTTGGATCTCTTGCATCTGGGGAACAATCGTATTTCTTATGTCCAGGATGGAGCCTTCATCAACCTGCCCAACCTAAAGAGCCTCTTTCTCAATGGCAACGATATCGAGAAGCTGACACCGGGCATGTTCCGAGGCCTACAGAGTTTGCATTACTTGTACTTTGAGTTCAATGTCATCCGAGAAATCCAGCCTGCAGCCTTCAGCCTCATGCCCAACTTGAAGCTGCTATTCCTCAACAATAACTTGCTGAGGACCCTGCCAACAGACGCGTTTGCAGGCACATCCCTGGCCCGGCTTAACCTGAGGAAGAACTACTTCCTCTACCTTCCTGTGGCTGGTGTCCTAGAACACTTGAATGCCATTGTCCAGATAGATCTCAATGAGAATCCTTGGGACTGTACCTGTGATCTGGTCCCCTTCAAACAGTGGATTGAAACCATCAGCTCAGTCAGTGTAGTGGGTGATGTGCTTTGCAGGAGCCCTGAGAACCTCACCCATCGTGATGTACGCACGATTGAGCTGGAAGTTCTCTGCCCAGAGATGCTGCACATCCCACCAGCTGGAGCATCCCCAGCCCAGTCTGGAGATTCTCACCTTGCTGGGGGGCCAACGAGTGCATCACCTTATGAGTTCTCGCCCCCTGGGGGCCCCGTGCCACTTTCTGTGTTGATTCTCAGCCTGCTGGTTCTTTTTTTTTCTGCAGTCTTTGTTGCTGCAGGCCTCTTTGCCTATGTGCTCCGACGGCGCCGGAAGAAGCTGCCCTTTAGAAGCAAGAGGCAAGAAGGTGTGGACCTTACTGGCATCCAGATGCAATGCCACCGGCTTTTTGAGGATGGTGGAGGTGGTGGAGGTGGAAGTGGAGGTGGGGGCAGACCCCCTCTTTCCTCCCCAGAGAAGGCTCCTCCTGTGGGCCATGTATATGAGTACATCCCCCACCCAGTTACCCAGATGTGCAACAACCCCATCTATAAGCCTCGAGAGGAGGAGGAGGCGGCTGTTTCATCAGTCCAGGAGGCAGGGAATGCAGAACGAGGGGGTTCTGGGACACAACCACCAGGAATAGGTGAGGTTCTCTTAGGAAGTGAGCAGTTTGCTGAGACACCCAAGGAGAACCACAGCAACTACCGGACCTTGCTGGAGAAAGAAAAGGAGTGGGCCCTGGCAGTGTCCAGCTCCCAGCTCAACACCATAGTGACGGTGAATCACCATCACCCTCACCCTCACCATCCAGCAGTTGGTGGGGTTTCAGGGGTAGTTGCAGGAACCGGGGGAGACTTGGCTGGGTTCCGCCACCATGAGAAGAATGGTGGGGTGGTGCTGTTTCCTCCTGGGGGAGGCTGTAGTGGTGGCAGTATGCTACTAGACCGAGAGAGGCCACAACCAGCCCCCTGCACAGTGGGATTCGTGGATTGTCTCTACGGCACAGTGCCCAAATTAAAGGAACTGCACGTCCACCCTCCTGGCATGCAATACCCAGACTTACAGCAGGATGCCAGGCTGAAAGAAACCCTTCTCTTCTCGGCTGGAAAGGGCTTCATAGACCACCAAACCCAAAAAAGTGATTACCTCGAGTTAAGGGCCAAACTTCAAACCAAGCCGGATTACCTCGAAGTCCTGGAGAAGACAACATATAGGTTCTAACAGTAAAAGAAAAATAAATTAGTGCTTTTTTTTTTCCCAAAAGAAAAGGAAAATAAAAGAAATATATTCCTTGCTCCCTTTACACTTGTCCCAATAACTCCATTCTCACAAACTTCCCTGCCCTGAACAGCACTGAAACCGCATGATAACTAGAAAATACAGATGTATGCTCTCCCCTCTCAGATGTGATTTGGAGGAAGGGCCATACTCAGATCATTAATCAATGAAGTGCCTTCGCAGACTTTTGCCAGCAAATGTTATCATTATTTTTTTATACTGAAACTTGAGACTTTGACTGTGCCATGTATAAGGTATACTGGGGATCGTTGTATTGATCCTAATTAAGTAAAACTCAATGTGTCTTTTTATTTTCAGTATATTTTTTTTTTATTTGTAGTTTTGTTTGACAGGGAGGGGGGAAAACAAATTGATATTTGCGGCTTTCTTTCCTCTTCCCATCATGGCACAGATTCTGTACATGTATTAACAATGCAGTTTGCTGCATGCCTGGAAACTCTAAGATGGGGAGGGAGGGGGCGGGTCTTGCTCGAATGTTCTCACCCACTCTTTTTTCTGTCATACACATACCTACACGCTAATCACAAATCCCTGCACACAGTTAGGTCCCCAAACCTGCAGCCTTTTCCTTCTGGTGTAGGTACACACACACACAATGTACACAGGTGCGCGTGCATGCGCACACAAACACTTGTACCCTATTCCTTTTCAACCCAATCTAATTATTTTGGGTTTGATCCATTCCTCTACTCTTCATAGCTTCATCTTCCCTTCACCCCTAGTGTACAGCTCTCTCCTACCACCGTGGGAAAAGTCATATTCTAGGTTGGATCCTACTGAAGTGGAAGCCTGGTGGTTTAACAGCTGGAGGCACACCTAGGGATGAGCATCCTCTTTGTGACACTTCATCCTGATGCCAAGATTTTTTGGAGAACATCTGCACTTTCTTATATATATATATATATATATATATATAATATTAAAAATAAAAAAAGCAACTGGGTATATATCACTAACAGCTTTGTAGGAAGCACTTTTAATGTTTTCTCTCTCACACACAAAGATTCAAAAGAAATGTGCATATATTTATTCTGTAATTTCAGTGATTATAAATTGTAAAGGTAATGTTTAATCATTGTATAGTGATTATGCGTCTGGTATAGCTTTCCTAATAAAAAGTTTTTGAAAAACATAATACATTATATAGAGGATACCAAGCTTGAACCTTAAACTCCAACTATGCCATGCCTTTCGTGCTCCCATTTAAAAAAAAAAAAAAATCTTTCTTTTACTTGTTATACAGAGAGCTAGTTTATTAACAAGTTTGATGCACTGTGATGTTGATAAATCTTATAACCCACCACCCTATCACATACCAGGATACAACTGGGACTTAAAAAAAAAAATCTGATTTATGTAGTTGAGTTTTTTTCTCTTGGATTAGAACTTTCAAATTCAAAAACCCAGCGATGCACCAGTTTTCCTAGGCAGGTTGTGATTGGGAGAAAATAAAGAAGTAGGTTGCTAAGAAGTACAAATTATACGGAGGAGGTAATAAAGGAATCAAGGACCCATGCACCTTAAGACAGTAAATGACATAAAGAAAAAGGAAAGTGAAATTGCTGTTCTTTTTTAAAGATTTTATTTATTTATTTGTTAGAGAGAGAGAGAGAGAGAGAGCACGAGCACAGGCAGAGTGGCAGGCAGAGGCAGAGGGAGAAGCAGGCTCCGCGCCAAGCAAGGAGCCCGATGTGGGACTCGATCCCAGGACGCTGGGACCATGACCTGAGCCGAAGGCAGCCGCTTAACCAACTGAGCCACCCAGGCGTCCCTGCTGTTCTTTTTTAAAAACGTAGTAAAATTACACACGCGCACACACACACCAATCAAACTCCAAGGCCTTGGAGCTGATTTGACTGTCCGAATCCTGCTATCTGTACAAGTTGTCATTGTTATATTTAGGTACTGTTTTTTTTTTTCCAACCATCTAACTATAACTGGCCCCAGTCAGCTTGAACTAAGACAGAAGATGCTGAATGAGTTTTTCTTTCTGTATGATATTAAAATAATGTTTAAAGTTAATCTGACAATAATCCAAGTTATAATCCATTTATATGTGAGCGAAACCAAAGAAAATTGGATTTTTAAGGTGCCAGTATCTTGTTTGTGGAGGAAACTAAACTGATAAAAAGAAACCGGAGCTTTAAGGCAGGCACTTATCTCATTTCACCAATAGAGGGCAGCAGAGCTCCAGAGATTGACAGACCCTGTAGCTGCAGAATTGTGCAGTGAGGCCAGTGTTCTATTAGTTTTCTCAAGCTGCCCGTAGTAGAAATTATCGTTATATGTTGAATGTAATTCACCACAAGTCACCAATGCCTTACATCACTTTTTTTTTCATAAAAAAACTTGCAGCTTCTAAAGCTGTTACTGATATAAAAATTAAGGCATTGTACTTAAAAAAAAAAGAATGTCTAGAACATATTTATATATCTCTTAATTATAAATGGGTATCACCTTAAGTATGCATAAAATAAAAAAAACACATGTATCAGTAAAAAATGTAACTTTTCAGGGCCGTCTTGCATTTGGCACATTGTACTTAAATTTTCTGTCTTCCATTGTTTGAAGTACATTGGAATTACTTCAGATGAAGAAAAACATAATTCACTTTTTCTCTACATACAATATTGAAATGTAGCTTTTCTTACACAAGAGGATCAGATCCACAATTAAATAGGTGTCACTCTCCTTTTCTGGTTTATTCTCTTTTTACTTTCCCATAAGTTAGCCTTTCCATGGTTATCTCACTTTCCTTATTCTTTCTAATCATCCATCCCTTCTTCACAAGTGAAGTCTTTTTTTTTTTTTTTTAAGCACAGAAAGTCAGTGTTTTAAACACCTTTAAGTGTTTTAAAATCTGATCTATGGAGTCCCTCTAAACTAGGGATTTATCGTGTCCCCATTCCTCCTCAATAAAATACTCTGGTGAATGGTAGAAAGCATGTGCATAATAAAAATTCAAAATGCAAAGCTAGATACTTCTGACAGTTATCATCATCTCCTTAATAACCATGCACACATTCATAACATGGCATATTATACAAATCAAGTTAAAGTACAATCCCTAATGATCCTGGTGCTTTTGACATTTGAAAAATGTGTTTCCATAAACCATATCAAATTACAATATAACTCGATAATTATGTTTATATTTTATTTATTAAATACAGAAAGTAAGACTGTCTTGTCTTAAATATAGGTAGTAATTTTACTCTTGAATAAGGAATAAATTTTATTTAGTGAAAATAAATTTATATGAGAATGGAATTTTGTATGCAAGGAGATAAATTTTTGCTTCCATGGAGTTTTCTACCCCTTTGGCTAGGCTACTTATTTTAGCTGTGCATTAGAATTACTCAAGTTAGCTTTAATTTATAATACCAGATATGTTTTCAGAAAGTACCAAGGGTATTACTATAATTTCTATGATTAGGATTTGTTTCATGTTTTTGTTGAGGTAAAAATTATTTTTGAGAAAAAGATCACTAATTCACCTCATAGTGATGGCCAATTTGACTGAAGCAGACCCAGATCTGGCAGAAATTTGTTATTATTCATCACTACTTGCTACAAATTGTAGTAATAATATTTGAAAATAATAAAATGCAATGTCCCTTTAACTATAAGATGGTGAGTGGAAAATAGTTGTAAGTGAAATATTGGTTTGACACAGTAACAGTTTTAACATATTATTGATCATATACAGTATTATTTATGTGGATGCTTTTATGTTTTTATGTAAAAAGCTACATTATTCTTCCAATTACAAAATACTAAATACATATATAGGTATACATATACATATATATGTATATTTATGTATATGTATGTATGTATATATATGTATATGTATGGATGAAAAAGTTCAGAGAGAGATTATAAGGAAAGTTTAATGACTGAGCTTAAAATTATTTTTTCCCCTCAACTAGGAATGTTAGCTTTAAAGCCTTGAGAAGAATATCTGCGTCTAGCACTATGAAATTTGGTAATGCAATTGTAGAACATAAGGAACGTAAGGAATTTCTTTAACTGTTGCAACTTATTATTTTAATTTGTTTAGTGTAAATCCATTGTTCATACCATCCTATCCTTGTGCAATTATGTTGTCTGAGCCAATTAATGTTGTAAAATGGCTATGACAAAAGAAACATTAATGAAATGCTTTACAAAATATGAGACATAGGACTGTAACAAGTCAAGATAATATGAAAAGAAATGATAATAAAAAACACTCCATCTTGAATTAAGTGAGTTGAGCTAGTTTAATCTGAACATAGACAATTATAATTTACACGTAGCTCAAAATCCTCAACTGAAAATTCAGGTGAACAGATTATAAATAACTATCACTAATTTTACCCTATAAGAGTCTGGTTTAATATCTATACGCCTTTTAAAAGTAATAGGAGCAATAACACATGTGTAATTGGGTAATCATGTGTATATGTGTGTGTGTGTGTAGAACTATTATATATGTATATACACTGTATATACATGTATATAGTTTATATATGCTGAATTATATTTACATGTAAATTATGCACTTTTTCTCACATGTATAACAATTTCAGTTTTCTGCATTTATTTTCCTTGCTTCTGTCTAGCCATGGCCAAGTGAAGATGGATGAAATTATATGAGTCTTCACTTTGGAAATAGTCACATGTAAAAAGTAACACTGTAATTAATATTTCTGAATTTAAAAGTTCTTTTATCTTTCAATTTGTTTCCTTTTATTATTTAAGTTATAGGGGATAAATTTCAAACTGTGATTTAAGTCTTCAACCATAAAAAAAATGATTTCTTATAAATATGCAACACAAGTCACATGAAAAGTGTTCCTTTTTCATTTTTCTATCTCTAGAATCAATTTTATAGATGAAGATAATTTCAGTAGCTTTATTAATTTGACAGGATCTTTGTAATTCATCTAGGTATATAGAAAAGTGAAATCTT